AAAGTTCTTGTCATAATTACAAGGTTTAAAACCCGGTGGAATGGGTTTCGGTGTATTTCCGTTACCTCTTGATTTTTCCAAGGTGGAAGGGTGGTCCGTACGAGTGGCCTTACGAGGCTTTTCGGAGGTGTGTTGTTTTGCTCGTTTTCTCGTATTGCCTTTAAAGACAAACGGACTACCCTCACCGCCCTCTGAGTCAGAGTCTAGATCATCAACTGGCAAAATGGAGAACGTGTTACTGTTTTTTGGTGTGGTCTGAGAAGATGAAGCGGTATTCTTCAAGAGTTCTGCTAGTGTTCTCTTGGAGCGAGCTTGCAGAGACCGCTTAAGTTTTTCTCCCTGCTGTTTATACCTCGGGCAGTTAGTCAGGGTATGCAGGCTCTCCTTGCAGTACACGCATTTTGGTGGAGCACCGCAAGGGCCCTCTTGATGTTGCTCGCCACACTGATCGCAGCGTGGTTTGTTCGAGCAGTAGTCCGATGTATGACCAAGTTGTTTACATTTCGAGCAGTTCATTACCCGAGGTACAAACAGACGTACAGGCAGCCGAACCTTGCCAATAGCGACGTAGTGAGGTAACGCTGAACCCGAAAACGTCACACGAAACGAGTTTGACAAGGAATAAGTTTTTTTGGAGCCTACTACGGATACTGACTGCATTTGAAGGCAGTCCAATATCTTCACCTTCGGCAGAGCACGGTTTTTAAAGATTCCGAAGGAATCGGGACCCAAGAAATCATCACTAGTCAAACTCGCTTCGGTGACCACTCCTTCAATTTCTACCTCACTACTGGGTATGTAGACTCGGTATTCCAATGAAAAAAGCTCGCACGCAACAATTTGGTTAGCCTGCTTCCGGTCATCAACGGTAACGCGCAGTTTTATTGGTGTTACCTTGAAAATATCGGTAACGGCCGAAAAATGTGTTGTTAGATCCTTAGAGATCCTCGGAATGTTCAAAGGTTTTTGTTTGGGCCGGAAAAAAACAACCCATGGGCCTTTCGAGGCTTCTGGGTAAGCCTTTAGGCGGGGGAGCGCAGAGGTTTTTGGGGGCAATGGTGTGGGGGGTGCAGGTGGACGAGGAGGAGATGGTGGGGGAGAGGGTTGTGGGCGATACCTTTTCTTGGGATATGCTCCAGTATTTTTGCTGGAGAGCGAGTCAACTGGAACGTCAAGGGTTTCCATTTCCACAACTTCCTCGAGACTTTCGTGTGAGGTGGAATTAAGAGTTTCGTCGTCTGAGATGGAAAGCGACCATCCCCCGCCTTTATCATTTTCATCCATTGCGGTTAAATATCGCCGCAATGGTGTTTTTTGTAAAATTTTTTACAAATAATTGCAGTAATTTCAAATAATATCAAAAAAAATATATATATATATAGTTTCACTCTACTAACGAGTAATACATGCAAAGAAAAAAAAATCAAAAAAAAAATAAAAAAAAAAAAATTTTGATCATATACTATTTACAGAGTTTTGGATCACCCTAAGTAATACAAAAATAATAATAAAAAAAAATCAAGAAGAAAAAAAAAAAAAAATCAAGCGAAAAAAAAAATTGGATTTTTGGATCACCCTAATTAAACACCAATCTAATATTGGACCAGGGAAACAAGGAAGATGCTATACTGGCGAGAACAATACAAACGACACGATTTATACCTAACGCACTGAGGCGGCAGCAGACTGGAGAGATATAATTGTTTGATCCAACTGCTGCAGAGTCAATAACCTCGATGCTGGTGTGCCTCGGTCGACTCGGTAGGCAATATGACGCTCTTTCGTTGTTGCTATCGATGGGGTGATGTACCGATAGTGGTGATGATTTTGCTGATGATGTTGCGATGATGCTGGGTTAAAGCTAGACCGTAATGAAAGCACTCGGCATATCATTAACGGCTTCCTCACTCGCGCACTAGTCGTCTAAACACTATGCCAATTAACTTTGGCGAGAAAAAACCCTCGCGTGGGGAAAAACTCAAAACTAAATGATAGTGTCGTACAACGAGACCGATGCGACTTGATCGGCTCAGCGTGCGAGACGGAATGAATGATTTTAACTTGTAGTTTTAAAAGTGCAAATTTTCAAATCGAATATAGTTGAACTGTCAAAACACCTACTTCGTGAAGAGATTTGTACTCATTCCTGGGTAGGTTAATAATAACGTGAGTGTAGAAAAGCAGGTGGTGAAAATGGCAAAATTTTCAACTATTTGTTAATAAGAGATTATTATCGCGAAAAGTGTCCCAATCCGGACTTTTATTGCTCGGAAAAAGATGACCGCATACTTCCGAACTCGTGTAGTATGGAACGAGGTATGGAATCCTTTGTCGAGCAATATAATGCTGTCGAAAAAGTTGAAGCAGAAGGAGGAAACCAATAGGTGAAAGCCATTCGATGTAGCGACTGGGAATTTTGATACAGCCGCTCAGCCCAGTTACTAAGAGGATTCCAGGAGTACCGGGAAAATCATTACTTAGTTGAGCGACATTGCCACCGGCTGGCCACTTGCTTGCCCTGAACTGAAAGTGGTGGTACAACCATAGAGGTAACTCTAAGACCACTGGGTCCCGAAGAAAATCATTATTATTTTTGGCTCACTCAGTACCAGAACAACGGTTCCAAGCAGTCCCAAGCTATTTCACTCACCCCTGCATGTTCTGCATGAATCCACACACCCCTGATGTTATCTGTCAAACTTTCATAGCGAATCAAAACAAACATAGTGTAGTAATAGAATTTCAACTAGAATAGGGTACGTTAATCGTTTGCTTGGGACCAATAGGCTACTAAAGTGGTGAGCCAATTTAAAATCGTTAGTTTCGTATTGATTGTTGGTAGAACTACGTGGTCTTGTTTAATAAATCTTACTTGTTAACTGCAGCAGGAGCTTATGATTTTTTTTTTAATAAACACCGTTTGGTGAGACCGGATGGAATTCCACTTTGAAATCTGTGTTAGGGAAATCGCTTGTCGCAGGCAATCGGTGATTATTTTAATTATCATAGCAACAGTTGCACATTCGTGCAATTTTCAATAGTAACATTTTGAATAATTATGAAGTCTTAAATTTAACAGAAAAAATCCTATCGATTGGCGTATAAAGATTTAAAATCCATCATCACTGGATCAAAATCAGACTACTTTCATACCGCGACCGACTTTGGTTTTGGAAATTGCAACTCCAATGTTGCCTTAAAGTACATGGTATGTTAGATTTACACATATCTAGAAAGAGCTGGAATTAGGAGTAACAGCTTTTGTAAACAATGACTTCTCTCGATGATTTTTAGGAATTCAAGGCACGTCCACGCAAACCAACAGTACCATCGGGTAGAGTAAGTCTTACCCTACCTGATGGTGATGTTGATTTGCTTGGGCGAGCCTTGACTTTCAAGACATCCTTGAAGTCAGTCATTGTTTACAAAAGCTGATATGCCCTAAATCCAGCTATATCTTGAAATGGGAACTAACATCCGATTGATGACCTTAACATATGTCCAAAAATACTCTTTTACAAATTTATGGTGTTCCTGCAAAAGACCGTTTTGTCGTGATGGTTGCGTAATGCTGAGCTATTAGGGTGTAAAACACAGATGAGGCTGGAGAGCTGCATGTTGTTTGAAATGAAAGTGACGCGCTTGGCATAGATGGCTCACATCGACTGACGATCAATAGCGGTGCGGTTTTTTCCTCCTTATATGGATGCTCATGTGGGCTACACCTCGCTGCTTGCAACGGTTGAGGCCAGCCTTGATTCGTGCAATTTTCAATAGGGACATTTTGAAATATTATAAAGTCTTCAATTTAACAGTAGGAATTTTTCTGATCTATTGGTGAAAAAATAATTGAAATTGGTGCAGGGGCAGCTGAGCTATTATCGCTCAAAATCTTTCGAAATTTTGTTACATGTTCCATTTTCGGTCTTCACAAAGTGTACCCTCATATAGAAATCACAGACGTAGTTCTACGTCAAAAGCACTCCAGAATACAACATTCATAATTTTTGAGTGCGGATGAATTCTTCAATACAATCGATGTAAATATTTACATTATTTGACAAATCTCAGGTAATCATGACAGCATGTGGTCTCTTTTCTTCATTCATATTGTTTTCAATAATCAAACGTCATGATTATCTGGGTTTTGTCATAAAAGGTAAATATTTACTTTGTTTGTACCAAAGAATATCATTTCTCGATGAACATTTCAAATGGTCCTATCTGCTTTGATCGATTCTCTTCATCGACTTTCTCTTTTGATATCCTCGCCTACGCAAATGCATTTGGTACTATTTTTGCCACACAGTTTGATAGCAGAAGTTCTTATCTTGTGCTTAGAACGTTGAACACAGCAGGGAATGCTTTTGAAGTTGAGTTATTAATGGAAGAGAAAGTCGATGAAGAGAATCGGTCAATGCAGATAGGACCTTTTGAATTTTTTATCTAGATTTCATTTATAGGGGAAATGTAGGTAATGTCGGCCTACATGTCCCTAATTTGGGCCCATCGCTAAAAGTCTGCTATTTATCAATTTTATCTAGATGAACGCGTTATTGGGATGTTAGTAATGGATATTTTTGGTTGCTATTGAAAATTTAGTTGATGGCTGAATTTATGTATGGGCCCAAATTAGGGACACTTAGGCCGACATTACCTGCATTTCCCCTAGTATCGATTTTACTCCTTTTTGGATTTCGAGTGTAGCTCCTATTGAAATATTTCATAGATTCGACCTCTCGTGTTGCTCGTGTTCGACAGCTAAAACAGAATCCATCTCCTCAATATGCGAAAATTTAACCGAGGCCATGTAATGTAAACAGGTGTGCCAGTATGAATTTGTTGTTTCTTTCATTCTCCCGCTGTTTAAACGGTTCACGGAGTGTGACGTCTCTCGATCATCCATTTAAACAGCGAAGGAACAAAAGAGATAATAAATTCTCTGGACCTCACCTGTTTAGGCACATTGGAAGCGGATAGCGCTTCATAAATTTTTATGCTGCATTGTTTATATCAGGTTATAATCACGTTTTTCGCAATCATCACTATTTTTACAGAATTGACCGCTAACAATTTGTTAAACATTACGTATTGTGATTATTCCATATTCTAGGATGCTGAATACCCATATTGTCAGTGCTGTGGCCGTTGTGGTGTCCTTTCTCGCCGGATACAGATTCGGCAACAAGATCACTGGCAAGGATGCCGGTAAAGGCGGTGGTGATGCGTCGAAGACCACAGCATCCAAAAAGGAGGAGGAAAATGTAAGTCCAATATCCTCTACTGGCAATAATTGAAAACTAACTTGACGTTCTTCTACGGTTCAAGATTTTCTCAGACTTTGGCGGCGAGTACAAAATGATCCTGGTGGTCAGGAACGATCTCAAAATGGGCAAGGGAAAAATCGCAGCCCAGTGTGGCCATGCGGCTGTGGGCGCTTTCGAGGGAGCATTGAAAAAGACACCGTCCGTGTTGCGAAAGTGGCAGCACACCGGTCAGGCCAAGATTGCCGTCAAGGTCGAGAACGAACAGCAGCTAATGGAGGTCTATCGCACCGCCAAGGCAAACAATCTGAACTGCTGCCTGATCCGCGATGCCGGCAGGACTCAGATTGAACCGAACAGCAAAACCGTGCTGGCGATCGGACCAGCACCCAATCAGGTGATCGATATGATTACGGGTCATCTGAAGCTGCTGTAAGCGGAAGGCGCGATTGATCAGTGTATTTCGAATATAATGCCAAACGAAGACCTGTCTCGTTCAAATTGAAAGAAAAAGACCAAAGTTTATTTGTTGGTAGACGTAGAACTTTATCAACGGCTTATAAAACATGAAGGTTAAGTAGCTAGATATATATATTAGTACTAAAAACTAGTTTAGAACCAGAGACCTCCTCCATCGTCATTATCATCATTCTCGTTTGCGTTGCTAAATATATCCATTTGCAAATTATTCTGTTCGTCATCACTATCGGAGATAGCCAGATCCTTATGCAGCGACTGCAGAGGTGGCAGGACCGACGGTTGTTCCGCTTGTTCTTGCTGTTGGCCTTCCACTGCCAGGATCTGTTGGTCTTCAAATTGCGATGGTTGCTGCTGGAACTGTTGAAAATTTGGATCGAAGGCGCTTCCTTGCTGATACGTAAACTGGCTAGGGTTTGCTCCAGTTTGCCCCGTACTTTCCGTGCCCAGCTGCCGGTTAGACATGCCGAGAAAATCACTCGGATCGTAGTTAGGGTCGATCTCCATTGATTCTTCCGCAGTTTGATAAAACTGGGACTGCGCGCCACTGAGTTGGACCATAGCTTCTGCTGCCTGTTGGCTATCTCCTTCCTGTGGTGGCATCATAGACGAATTCGATTGAGCATTCGACTGGTCAAGAGTAACCGATACCCCTTCATTGTCGCTCATGGTGACTTCTTCGAACTCTTCGTCATCGGTCGAATACTGGCCACCTATGTATATATCAGAGGAAGATGTCAAGAATTAGCCTATGGGGTTCAGTCTACTACTACCGAGCGAGACAAACGAGATGAAATCCGAATAGACAACATCATGAAACGGTGCGCTTGCTATTCTACGGATGAATTCATGCAGCAGATCTACAGGAAATTCGAACTTCTACTCTAAGAAAACTACATCTACCCCTTCGAACTTACCTTGCTTGATTCGCCCAAAAAGCCCCGAATCCCCAAGGAATCTTCCACCTCTGGTAGTAGTGCTATCTCGCCAGAACGAATTGTTAGTACCCGTTAGCTTGGTCCCATCCACCGCCGACGTGCCCGCATTGACCATCCAGTTCATTTCGAAGGCCGAAGCAGACGGATCGGTAGCCAGTAGCGGTGTGGAAGAACTCGACGGTATGCCTTCATACCCGCCGAGGTCCCGCCCAGGTCCACCGCTGCCGTAGCCTCCGGAACCGCCGGGGCCGCCACGCACATTGTGGCTGCTGCTGTGAGTGGTTGTGGTGCTGTCCATGTCGTCGTGTTCCTTCCGCGGGCGACCGCGGGAACGCTTGAGCAGCATCCTGTTCATCATCTGTGACATCATCATGCCAGGAAATTCTAGGTAGTAGTAGGACAATACGGCGAGATAGTGAGGATAGATTGGTTTTCATTGGTCTTGTGCATTCGACGAAGAAGAAGAAGTAGAAGCACTCACACGCACAGGCAAGACATATGGAAATCACTGTTTGGTGCTGGTTTAGTTCAAGCTGGACACGTTTCGAGGGTTAGATGTAGGACAGGCACATGTTAGAGACGCTAGCTAAGGGGAAAGGCAGATGCTTGATGATGGATGTGTTTTAAACATTATACAAACAGAATACCATAGTTACCCGGTCCGGAAGCAGCTTAACCCTTTCCTTCAAATATAGTCAAGATTCCTATAGAACGGTTAATAGGGACCGCACAATAGGAACCGGTATTAACGAATACACATAGCATATGGGATTAGAGCTAATTGGGGACCAGAAAATGTTGTGAGTTGTGACCAGAAAATGAAAACTGGGGACCACGGGATGGTTCACCGGAAATTCCGGAACATCCGTAAAAGTGGTCAATTTATGAAACTGATCCTAGAGCTCCGTTTTTTTTCGAAACCGCTAATATACGTCTTATTACAAATAATTCGGTGTTTCGACTGTAATTTGGACTCTGGAGACTACAGGATGGTCCACTGGAAGATCCGGAGCATCCGCAAAAGTGGTCAATTCATGAAACTGATCATAGAGCTCCGCGAATTTTTCGAAACCACTCATAGACCACAGACAAACAGACGTAACTCTTTGAAAAGGTTTTTCTTGAAAACATAATATCCCAAAACATAGTACCTCAGTAGCGACATCTCTCGGACTTTTCGCGGAAAACAAGCTTGCACGCTAACTGGCAAACAATATTGCATAAAAGTTCTATAGAATGTATAGAAACGTCAAAGTGATTCGATGCCAGCGCTGCGGCGAGTAGTTCGCGGAACTTATAATATTCAAATCAACCGTTAAATGCGTAAACGATGATTCACAATGAAGATTACGTCTGTTTGTCTGTGCATAGACGTTTAATCAAAATCAATTTGGAGTTGTGATCGGAATATAGACCCTAGAGTCACCCCGATGGTTCACCGCAAAATCTGGAACATCCGTAAAAGTAGTAAATGAATGGAACTGATCCTAAACATCCGCAGTTTTTTCGAAACTTCTCATAGAAGTCTTGTTTATTTCTTGTTTATTTGTTTATTTGTTCTTCGTCTTCGACAGTGTCGTACAGACTAGTTTAACTTATGCTATGTTTTTAATCCTATTTTTAAAACAATTTTTGGACACATTAAAATCAAACAAATCACTAACATTGTTGAAAGCTCTGAGGCAAGAACTGAGCGGGTTGTTATGACCATAACATGTTCTATGTGCGGGAACTGCGATAAGTGCTGAGTACCGCAGCTGACGCTGTGGAACGTTCAGTGATACTTGCAGGAGAAGATCCGAACAGTCGACGTTATTCTGGACGATATCGAATATAACCAGCCGCTGCAATTTCAGCCGTCTTGCCGATAGCAGTTCCAGATCAATTAGTTGACATCGTTCTGGATATGCAGGTAGATGGACAGGATCATTCCACGGTAGGTGCCGAAGAGCAAAGCGAATGAATGATTTCGGCACACGTTCGATGCGGATCACCTGAGATGTATGGTACGGTGCCCAAATGGGAGCAGCATATTCCAGGATACTTCGCACTAAAGCACAGAACAAGGCTTTTAATGTGTGCACGTCGGTGAATTGAGATGCATTGCGGCGAATGAACCCAAGAACGGAGAAGGCTTTGGCAGTAACGGTGGATATATGTTCGTTGAATCGAAGCTTACAATCCATGATAACTCCTAAATCACGGATAGACTGCACACGTTCCAGCGGAGCAGTGTCAATATTGTAAAGATGATTGATGGGAATCCAACAACGACTAAAAGTGATCACCTTGCACTTATTGATGTTCACGCACATTCCATTTTCCTTGCACCATCGTGAAAGGGCATCGATGTCAATCTGCAGAGCAACACAGTCCAAAACAGACTTGATGACTCTGAAGATTTTGAGGTCGTCGGCAAAAAACAACTTTCCAGAAGATATTTGCAGGCACAAGTCATTGATGAAGAGCACAAAGATCAATGGACCTAACACACTCCCTTGTGGAACTCCAGATGGAATGTAGAAGGTCCTGGATCGTGCTGAGTTCACCTGGACGAATGCTTTCCTACCAGTCAGGTAAGACATTAGCCAGTCGGCTATCCAATCGGGAAAACCCATATGTCTCAGCTTTTCCACGGCATAGCTATGCGGAACAGTATCAAATGCTTTCGAAAAATCAATGTATACAGAGTCCACTTGATTCCGGCTTTCAATCTCACGAAACAAAACGTTGGTGTAGCATAATAAGTTGGTTGATGCAGAGCGATGGGGAACGAATCCATGCTGGTATTCCGAAATTATCGGTTTTGCTGCAGACAGTAAGACCTCGTGGACCAAGGATTCAAAGAGCTTTCCCAGGCAACAGAGAATCGAGATCCCGCGGTAATTTTCAACGTGCCGCACGCTACCCGATTTGTGGATGGGAATCATTTTGGCAGTTTTCCATAAACCTGGGAATGTTTTTTCATTTAACGATCGATTGAACAGTATCGTCAAAGGTTTAACTATAGACTCGGCGCAATTCTTCAGCAGTGTTGGAGTTAAACCGTCGACTCCGGCTCCTTTCGACGCATCTAGTTTGGCTAACGCTCTCAACACTTCCTCACGAGAAAAATTGAAAAAAGGAAGGTGGATATCATGGGATGGCACATTTTGAAAACAACCCGGGTGAGGTTGGGGCGACTCCGCATTAAACACACTTTGAAAGAAGGTCGAAAAAAGATTAGCTGCCTCTTCAGAAGAGCAGGCCAAAGCGTCACCATACTTGACATTGTCCGGAACACGATTGCTTGCCCTTTGTTGCTTCACGAACCTCCAGAACATTGATGGGTTTTGTTTCAAATTCGATTGCAGCCTCTGCATGTATTCATGGTAGCTTGATGCTACGAGCTCTTTGTAGGACAGTTCCACAAGGTGAAGCGATTCTCGGTTTTCAATGGTTTTGTTAGCGAAGAATCGTTTACGTGCTTTACGCAGTCTGTTGCGCAGGTTTCTTAACTCAATGGACCACCAGGGCTTCCTGTTGGCTCCACTAATAGCAGGGCGGCGTCGAGAGACCTTCAAGTGGAGAATTTCGTAAAGCTTGTCGTAAAACAGAAGAACAATATCATCGACAGAGTGCCCCTGAAGAAGCTGCTCCCAGTCAACCGATGAAAATTCTGCATTGAGAGATTCGAAGTCGCAGCGCCTAAGATCCAGATCAATAGAGTCCGACTGAGCGTTTGCTGGAACGTGCACACATCTATGTACATCAACTTGAAGTTCTAACGGCGGATGGTGAGGATCGATAGGCAAGAGTGGTAAAACAGGATGCGATATTTCAAAATCGTCAGGAGCGTTCGTAAAAGCCAGATCGAGTAGCCTGCCATTCGGGTTTGAGATTGAGTTTAGTTGAACCAAACCACATGTAGAAATGGATTCGGTAAGTACGAGTTCTTGTTCGCTGGAGGCATTCGCAGGCAGGTATCCATTGACATCTTCATCGAAGGTCCATTGCAGCTGAGGGAGATTGTAATCCCCAAGAAGTAAGACTATGTCGCTGGCCGCCGATCGATCAGCAACATACTG